CCTGTTGAAGAATAAAAAAAAAGTGAGCAAGAAAATGAAGAAAACAGGTGGACCAAGACAGCGAAAAGAAACATTTGGCTTATCTAACAATGGAGAGATGGGTTTGAGAAAATGATTGATCATTGAAGTGAAGATGAGTTCCTTTTGATACATGGGATCGATGTGATTTCCAAAGGCCCGCCTTCAAACTTCACATGCTTCTGTCCTTTTAATCCTCCATTCACATTCTCTTTTCCTTCTTGTTTTGTTCCTTTCTTAAAACATTTCAGTTCGTATAAAATATTCATACCATATCAACATTAGTACGTAGCATTAGTAGTTTAACCGGTGAACTACCTGACCTCAAATTAAAGGAATAAAAATAGAAATCTTGAATTCGAGATATAAAACGAAAAATAGACGTACATTGATATACTTTACCCCTCCTATGAAAAATTATGGATCTAGGCCCGGAATTTTTTGGTTAACCAAAGAAAAACAAATTGTTTAAAACCATGCAGTTGATGTATTTTATTCAATGCAATGGTGTGGATTATAGAGAAGACAAAAACGAGAGAGTACATATATTCAATGCAATCTTGGATTTTGTCTTTTTTTTTTTACTCTTGGCTAAGTGAACCGGTGTTGACCCAAAAAAAAAAATGTTGAGACAAAAAAAAAAAGAAGCTAAGTGAACCGGTCTTGTATATATGAACATTATAAGTTGATAATAGCAAAAGTATTATGTATTCATGTTTTGGTTCAAAATATTGAGAGAAATTTTGAGAAATGCCACTTTTGAAATGTCATTTTTTAAATATGTCAATTTGTTAAAATCTTTGCAAAAATGCCACTTTTTCAAAATAATTTATTCATTATATCATTTGTGTGTGGGTTAACTATATTGTATTAGATTTTAGTTTCGAGGATTTAGGGTTTGTTAGGGGTCAAAACATTTTTTAGGGTTTAGAATTTTAAGATTTAGGTTTCAAAAATTCATAATTAGTGCTATTTTTGTAAATCGATAACCAATAGTGGCATTTTTGAAAATGTACAAACCAAAAGTGATATTTTTGCAATTGTCCCAAATATTAACGTAGAGAAAGACGAATAATAAATGAAAAATACTAACCATGTACATCATATTGTTTATAATATGTTGTTTTATTAGTTTATCACCAAGTAATTAGTCTTACTTTAAGAATTATGTTATTCCTAAATAATTTAACAC